GATTTTTTCAAACCAGTCGATTAAATAATGGTGGATTTGGTTATATTTGATACCCCCTAATTAGTCATATTTTTCAATCAATTTTTAACAGCTTAATTTTCATTGCTTTTTGACATTTTAAATTCTTTTCCTACACTTTCAGACATTTATAAAATTATGGTAACAATCAATTTGCATCAAAATGAAAACGATATCTTGAATATTGCATTTGATGTGTTTTTCAATTAATTCTTACACACTTAATTATCTTTAATTTTTGGAATTTTGAGTCCATTTACTACATTTTGAGATGTTTTAAGATTGATGGTTATATCCATATTGCATACAAATAAAATTTGTATATGGTACAAATTATTCAAGAAACAGGGTAAGATCATATGTTAAGATTGAATGTTTGATTTTTAGGCAAAATGAATGATACCATCAATTTTCAAACATCTCAAAATGTAGGAAATAAATTTAAAATTCCAAAAAATCCAAGTATATTAAAGTCAGTGATTTGTAAAAAAAATCAAGGGTTTCCCCTTACAAATGCTAAATTAAGAAAACAAATGCCAGGGTTTTTCCTTGAAAGAAACACATGAAAAAAATGACATGGCATGTCAGACACAACAACAATCAAAGAAAATATCAACCAGCAGCCTAGCCCCCCAACACCAGCAAAGCTGGTGCACTTGGACTCAGTGGCCAGCCCATGTCATTGCATGGGTCAAAACCACTGGGCATGAAGGCCCCCAGCCAACCACAAAGGCAGAGGACAAGTGGGGGGCCAGCTCTTTGGCTCTCAAACTGTGCAAGTGCAACAGTGGAGAGGATGAGGGCTTCAATTTCTGGAATTACAGATATAAACACAACTGGTGTGTTGCAATCACATAAAAGCCCTCCTCTTTATAGCCTCCACCTCCCTCCCCCATCTGAAACCTTGCCTATAATTCCTAACTAGCAACATCAAGCCAAGTCACACCACGTCTCCCCCCCAACGGTGGGCCAGCTACACTAACCGTAGCGTTAGTGTAGCGTAGTGTAGCTAAAATAAGCTAACATGTAGTGTAGTGTTACCGCAAATCTGAAAATTTGCACTAACACTACGCACGCAGGGCGCCAGTGGGTGTTAGCTGTTAGCGTAGTGTTAGCTTTATTTCACTCATCCACACTAACACTACGCCCATGGGGCGCAAAAACGCGTCCGCTACACCAAGCTACAGCGCTTTTTAGCGGTTTTTTGGCCTTTTTTGCCGCTAACAGCACTGTAGCGTAGGGGCTGTAGCGGTGCACTAACACTACCCAAAAAAAGGTGTGTTGTTAGCGCCGCTAAAATTTAGTGTAGCGTAGTGGGCTGTAGCGCAAACTAACACTACACAAAAAAAGGTTTCTGCAACAGCAGCTACGCTAACGCTAAATGGCCATTTAGCGTAGTGTAGCGTAGCGGCCCACCGTTGTCCCCCCTCATTCCCAACTAGCCTCACCCACAAATCAGTCTGCCAACAATATCACCCGGTGTATGCCACATCCTAGGCAACCATCCACCTTTACCCTCACAACACCCTTAGTTTTCCATGGCCTACACCATGGGGCGGGTTTTTAGAAAAACCCCCCAGCAAACGGATGGATTCCGTCCCGAGCGCCCGCAACTTGGTTGCGAAGCATCCAACGGACGCTCGGGCTTGCCTGGCATCATTTGGACGCTTCAGAAAGCGTCCAAGGGATGCTTGGCAGGCGAGACCATCCAGAGGATGGTGTACAGCCCGGTGTCCATCGGACACTTGATTGGGAGTGTCCAATGGACAACAAGAAAACCATCAATCGGACACTTCTCAGAGTGTCCGATTGATGGTTTTCACCCGGGTCCGGCAGTGGAAAAAAAAAGGGTCAATTGTCAAAAAATGATCTCAGAAGGTGGTCGATGGTCGAAAAACGATCCAAAAATGCAGCGCGGGGTATGTAGTTGACTCTTTGACTATCGAAATATCAAGAATCTAGTATAGTCGAGTGGCAAAGTACTGCCTCTGTGAAGTCACACCGGATGCAAACGGGTGACACTTGTGAATAATCGTCACCTGGTGAGTTTTGCTGCGCACGCGCAGGCTGTGGTTGGTTTTTCTGCGTGACACCTACATGTCACGCGCATTTATGGGTGACAGGTCACCTGACACATATTTTTGCACCTGTACCGCCCAGCTTTCATGTAACATCCCTCTTCAAAAGCAACAGGTCATGTGACAGGTGGTTCAAGACATCCACCAAAAGGCACTACATGTTCGGCGCTTTCTTGGCGCATCTTCCGCAGTGTTGGGACTACTGACACAAGAATCAGTGAGGCCTGAGTGATCAGGTCGAACCGGAAGAGCAGCGGTGTCAAAGAGTACTGACATTCCCACCAAACAAGTCTGTCTGATCTTTTCAACTTCTTTTAGCATTTTGCGACTGTAGATCCTCCGGCGGCTTTCGTTCACTTTCTGACAAGAACGCTTGACATGATAACATGTAAGATTTCTTTCATCCCTCCGGTTAACCCCAGCCACAGCACTGAGCTTACATCTGTTTTGATTGGGTCTTGAAATTTTAAAATATATGAATTTTTTTGCCCTACTTCTATGAGTACAGAGATACAAAGAAGGGGTTGAAGAGGAACTATTCCAATTGGCTAAACGATCGAATTCCCAGACAAAGATCGACAAGCTCCCAAAGAGGATGCCAATGCTGGAAAAAGCGCCTCGGGGTGGTTTGGGCTCAGGCGCTACCGGTGTTGGAGGTGTCCCACTAAGTGGGTTTGTCTGATAGACGGTGGCCAGGATGATGATTGTCGGTGAGAATCAACCTGCTCTATTCTGTTTTATTCTTGATGCAGACTTGTTGCTGACTTGTCTTTTTCTGAAATATAAAACAAATTCTGAGCGGTTTTGGATCTAGTCAAAGGCTTCTTTTCGTTGGTCAAACAGTTCGCCGGTTGCAAAATTGTACCTGTAACGTATGCTCATTACATATGCGTTTAGGTGCCAGGCCGACCCATACGACCCAACCCTGGGTCGCATGGGTTGGCCTGGGGCCTAAACGCATATGTATATGCGTTTAGGCCTGTCAGCCACAGAGCACATTTCACAGTACGTGAAATGTACCTAGTAACTGCAATAATAATAATTAATTGTGTCAGCCACAGAGCACATTTCACAGTACGTGAAATGTACCTAGTAACTGCAATAATAATAATTAATTGAATACTGGAAAATAGTATACATTGTTGTTAAAATAATAAATAAATAAATATGTATTTACATTTAATCTTAATTCATAATTTATATTTAATAATTCTATAATTAACTGTGAAATCCCCTTGAGTATTGTACATATAATATCACTAGGATTTCACAGAAATATCATTAGAATAAAGTATTAAAACAATGTTTATTCTTATACATTATGTACATATTTTATAAGCCATAAATAATTACATATGTATAAAGAATCAGCTAGTAGAAGCGTGAAATGGATGAGGAATAAGCTATATACATTTATCTGAAGCTTACCCATCCTTGATCACATCATCAGGGCATCAGATTGCATCATAACCCTCTTGGATGGCGTCATCAGGACCCTTTTGTGCTCTAATTCAAAGCTTGCATAATTCACAGCAGCCTACACGGGAAAGGAGCCCAAATTCTACATGCAAGACTGAATTATGCATGAAGGACATGCATTTCTCATGATCACAAGCTTGCATAAGCAGAGTTACACGTATGCAAACAACTCTACAATTGCACAGCCCCTGCACAGTAAATGTAGCCCTTTAAATTACGTGAGAAATAGGCCACAAAACTCAATTATGCATGTATGATCTCATGTCCTAGGACCTTCCACCCATGCATAGCACTGCACAGCTACAGCTCCCATCCTTACACGAAACTGTAGAGCTGCTAAGAAGCTCCCTAGTGCCCTGAGGGCCTCTCCTCTTCCCCTGAGCCTCCTGTAGAATATTTAAGGAGCCCTGATTCCTACCTTTTCCCCCCAGGAAATTCTAGTAGCATCAAACCAACACTTGTACCGTGTTTATTAGTGATTCAAACCACCAATAACCTTACAAACCAGCTACCTTAGACCTAAATAGATTTACTTTGCTCAGATTCAAGGCATATCTACTTATCTCTATTGCATAAAGAATTATCCCCCAGGTTAAACAATTCTGGTCCTTAAGTGTTGATACACTTATTAATCTAGATTGTTGTTAAAAGACTAATCCCAAGTGAGTTGAAGAAGTCCTCATCTTGGAAGCCTATTAATCCATACAAGAGGATTGATCTGGATGCCCAATTAAATAATTGGATGAGTCAGCAGTAGAAGTACCATTCCTCACTGACTCCTCCCTGTTTCTTTTACAGGTTGAGGGATTTAACCACGAATAAACCTTCCCACTTACCATACTTGTTAACACTCAGAGCACAACCCTTACAGGTTAGTAGCATAGAGGCTGACAAGGCCCCTGCAGCTTTGGCGTGCGGCCTCGCACGCCAAACACCTTTGGTGTGCAGGCCTGCACGCCAACCTGCAGGGTATATCCCGGCAGGTCATTGGCGTGCGGCCCCGCACGCCATTGACGGGCTGGCGTGCAGGCGCGCACGCCAATCTGCAGCTGGCGTGCGGATTGGCGTGCGCGAGGGGGGTTGGCTTGCGCTTATCAACCCCCGGAGTTCGCATGCTTCTCCCGTCGGTGCCACCGTATTGACCTTCAACTATGTCAGTCCCATTCTTCATATCCCTCCCATCTCCATTCTTCCATATCACTCATGCCTCTCTCTCTCTCTCTCTCTCTCTCTCTCTCCCTCTCTATTTCTTTCTTTGTGTGTGTGTCTGTATGGATGGTAACAGGGCCTCAAGACGAAGAAAGGGGGGAATCAGTCGTCCAGGCTCGTCAGTACTCTTAATTCCCTTATCCATGCCTGATTCTGGGAAAACTCAAGCTCATCTCTCCAATAAAACACAGTGGCTCACAAGTGATGGCCTCCGTCATGGCGCTCCAACAAGGCTGGGCTAACTCTCCCAACTCGGCCCTTGAATTCGTCGGTCAGTATCCTCCATCTCCCTCCGCTGACTAGACTATCTTGTGGATCCTCTCTCTCGAGCCAGACCGCTTATCGAAAGAATATCACATCCTCAGTGAAAGACTCGTTCAAAAACTTAAGAGACTCCGTCAACGACGGCTCCACTGCGGCCTTCATGTGGGAATGGTCAGCTCTCCCTACACTTCCCCGATCATTTCTTACTCCACTTGATCAATCAACTAACTAGCCCTGATCCGGAATCTTGCCTTTTCCTTTTTTTTGTAAATAAAACAAACAAACAAACAAAAGGTTTACAACTAATCCTTACCAGGACTCGGGAGAAGTCAAGTTTATCGGCAGCCAGCCCACGCCCTGGGAATCTTGGTCAGCACAGAGACTTTCTTCTTCATGTAACGACTAGAAGTGAATCGGGGTTGGGAGTCTGACCTAGGTGATTTTCTTGCGACCTTGAAACCTCTGAATACTCCGGCAGGATGAGTGCGTTGATCAGAGAGAACACTTTTAATCCATCCATGAACTCTTTGTTTTGTTTCTGACGTTTGCTCCTTAACCTGCACCGATCTGGGGAAAATGGGACAAAGTCGCCGCGTCCCCTGAATTGGTCGATCCCGAGCTCCTGGCACCCGAGAAGCTGCGGTTATTCTTGAGCAAACTGGACAAATCGATCCACAGGTTCGGGACCGAACTCGGGATCCGTAGCCCCGAGGACGTCAAATACATCCAGGACAAGTTCCAGTTGGGTCTTCCCCATTCATTCTCCTTCGGAAGCTTGAATGGATCACTCACGAGCGACTGAATGATACATGGCTCCTTTGACATATCTAGTCAAAAGGAGGAAGACGTTAAAGAATGGATGAAAGGCGTCAGTTATCCGAAGAAAACTCACGAGATCTCTCAGAAGACCTTGCAGGAAACCGTCAAGTAAGTCCTCAAACATCTTTATTATCTTTCGTCCCCCCCCTTTAAAATGACAAACCCTCTTTCCTCATTGTTGCTGTGGGTTCTATAAGGGATTTGGGACTGGCCGGAGTCATCCTGGACGCCAGCAAGGTGGTGATACCTGACCAACTCGTCAACACTGATGTCGCCAAGGTGACCCAAACCTGAGCACAAAGTGTGTGTATGTATGGGTCCAAAGAAGCCCCGCAATCTCTTTCCTCAACTGTCTCTTCTTCTTCTTGTATGAATCCCTGGGGTCTTCTTCAATAACTCGAGAGCATTGTACAATCATCAGCATGTGGCATGTTTCTCTTTACCTAGCTGTTCTATGCGCACAAACCTATTGTTGTGAAAAGAAGAAGAAAAAAATCATTTTTATTCTCTTGTCTGTCTGCCCTTAAATGTTCCAAGTCCACAACAGAAACATCCATCCAGTAATGTATTGTCCCTTCAAGAAAAGATAGATAGTTTAGCGTGGTGTTGGCGGGGCTTTTCTCTCAACTTCGACGTCTCAGAATTGGCGTCCCGGGTCGCCAAACTTGACTGACAATGTGGCGAGCTGCGACCCTGCACATATCTTCCTACTCCTCCCTCATTTTCATTTGCTTTGTTTCACCAAGTGATATATCCTGGTACTGGTGTGGGTTTTTTGCAATTGTTTGAGTGAAAGGCTGTTTTGCTGCACATATATTTAAATACTAGCCAAAATTCATTCTCCACCCACAAGAGCTGTCACACGGTGGTGTTTAAAATTGTGCCTATGGCACCAGGAAAAATCAACCTTGCAACCCAGAAGTGTCAATTTCAGATACTCTTCTACAGGCAAACCATTGTCACACTGCCCCCATGTGTCAAATAATTTCAACTGTCATAAAGAATCAATGAGAAATTTTTTCACTGAGATTTCAATGAAATGCCCATTGCAAGGCTGTGGACCCAAAATGACAGTGTGATATTGTCCCTATGTATCATTGAGAAACACACCATTCTGTAATTGAAATTAAGTTTTAGAGGATTCTCTACTGGGAAAAATCTGTGATTTTGGAGTTCAATAAACATTTTAGGTGTTTTTGGCCAAGAATTTCAGATTTGGCACTGTCTCTACATCTCCTGGGGAAACATAAGAAGGGTAAGCTTCAGATATTGTTATACTGGGAAATACATCTCACACTGCCAAAAAGCCCAATTCTTACAGGTGTCTCTACATCAAATATTCTCAGTTTTGAAATTTCCCATAGAGTTTTGAGTGACATACACATGTAAAATGTTCCTATTCAATAATAAAAGCTTAAGGATTTTCCCTATCTCCCATGGCAAAACATACTGTGTTACAAATTAGGGCAAGTTTCAGATCCTGTTATATGGGTAAAATTAAAGCATGACACTCCCACAAAATTTAAGCCTTAGAAGTTTCTCCCCATTAAAAATAACCAGACTCAATGCAAGGAACTTCATCTCTAATTGAAGTTCATGTATCAGCAAAGGAATTTACTTCTGCATGCTAGTAATTTCAAGTTTCAGATTCTTCCTCATAGGGAAAAGGCTGGGTCACTGCCACCAAGTGTATATTTAATACTCAAAAGTGTAATTCCACTTATGGGTGTCGTCACCCATTATGTCAGCTTTTGGATTTGCCAGGGTGAGCCATTGAAAAGAAGTTATTATTTCCAAGAGGCAAATTTCTAGATGCTTGGCTCCAAGGGAAAATCTGACATACTGCAAAATTGTCATTTTAAAGGAATCCAGTTTTTATAAAAATTCACATGTTGACTTTCCCCCATCTTGAAGTGCACAATCTTCCATTTTCTCACGAAAAGGGGGTTTCAAAGACTTCTTGTTAGTTGCACAGCTGGAACATACCAGCCAAGGGCACACAAGTTCAAAAAATCTCTACTAGAATATAGATGGATCATGGTCCAGCAGGCATATTGTCTGAGAGTTTCATTTCCGGATGTTCTATTTTGAGCAATTCCTCAAGGTTGTTGTGAGTTGTGTTACATACCAGTCACAGAGAAACGAAATTGGTTTGTTCTTGGGTACAGTCCCAAAAACGGGTGTTTGTTTTTGAATCACCCAACCCCATGAGGAATAGTCAGATTCCGGTAGGTGTTTAAAATTGTGTATATTTCAACATGAACCATCCAATCCGTCAAATTTTACCAAAGCAATTCCTTCCTCATATACTGGAAAAATTGCTATCCATCTTCTGCCCTAAAGCATGAGACCCTGAGAAACGCTCTCTGTCTAGCATTGCGTTTGTCAACAGAAAATGTTGCTATCTGAATCTAGTATACTCTTTCCACCAAAGGCTCATAGGACAATGCCTGACCTACTTTTCCATGACGGTGTTCACGAACCCAACAAAGCTACATCAGAATGCAACCAGGACAAATCACCACTCAACTCTTCCACCAACAATCATCCAACCGACCAGTGTCCCACAAAAACCAAAGCTTGTCCTTCTGGGAGCACCAGTGCCCCCTTTTTACGCCAGCTTGTGATTACTAGCATTATCATGATTGCCATCATAGCATCATTCTACTCATCTAGTTCACCACAACTCATCCAAATATACTCCAATTTACTCCAGGCCTCCGCTGCAACTCAACTTTTCATTGCCCAATATTAGTCTTACATACCCAATTCGGTAAATTCGGTATACTACGAATATCACAGTTATTTGAATTCAAGCACTACTTCATCAATTGCCATTGCCACAAATTTCTTTGATTCGATCGAGGAGCTCAACGAATTTGGGATGCCTGATCTGAATCCCGTCGATATTCAGAATTTGGTGCAGTTATTTCAACTGGATTCCTCACCTGAGGTCAGCGCCCGAATCTCAATCCTGCTTCAAATGTTGTCTGAAGATGCGCATACGGTTCAAGAGCAAATGAAAGTATTGATCGGCAAAGGGAAGATGGAAGTACAGATGATAGCCCTTGCTGTTAGTCTGTTTATACATAGCTTTTGCGCTGCAATGTTGATTTGCTGATTTCTGTTTTTGCTCCTAGTGCTCTAATTTAAAATCACATGGGAATGTGCTGGACCGTACAGCCCCTGGCAAGCTCCTGGCCCAATTCTCATCAACCCTCGACCAACTTGCCACTCTCGCGCTACAAACATCTGGTATAATCGAAGGTTCACTCAAACAGTCTTCGGTGTTGCGGGAACTACTTGAAATGCAAAGAATGTTTTTGCGACAAACCCTCAAATCTTCAGCGGTCTTCAAGATGATACAAAGGAAATTTTTTGTCGACACTGAAGCCCAGATTCTTGGACACCAGGTTATATTAGCCATTGGACATGTTCAAAAGCTGTCTAAATTCATGTACGATTCCCGATCGCTACTAAGGCTGTATGCTGGAAACGTAAACTCACTTTCAGTGAGTAGCCTCTATCTCTGATTTTACACATGTCCAATTTCTTACCGAAATCTATCCTCAGGTCATCATCAAAAGTCTTGAAAGCCACAGCGACACCAATTTTCAATTGTTTCAGACGTTCAATGTTTTAGAAATGGTATATAAAAGTGTCCTAAAAAAGGGCTGGTTCAAGGCTGAGCACTTTGAAAAAAAAAATGAGCACCGGGAATTGGAGAGTAAATGAGTATAGCTTATGTCTCCAATACACACAATCTCATTATCACCAGTCCCATATTTCTTGTTTTCCATAGTCACTCCTTAAATTTCCATGTGAAACCCCATTTGGAACTCTCTTTCAGATACAATATCAAGTAGACTGATCCTAAAAACCAATTTCCACTTTGTTTTTAAATCCATACTATTACCATACTGCTGAGCTGTACTTCTCTGAGAAACATCTGATCAGGCTAGATAGAGATCTGTTCTAGGGGAGACCCATCCAGAGCAATAATTGCCAATTGACATAAGAGGTGACAGAGAAACAAAGAGTTAAGATATCAAGTTTTCTTTCACTGTTAGCAGTCGCAAACTACAAGCATATTGTGATGATAAAAATGCCAATTTTAGTATGTGAGGGCAGCATTCCTTTTTGTGTATTTAAGCTTTGGTCTGGTCTGTACTATTTCAAAAACAAAGAGAGTCTGAGAATCGACAATGTCATCCACAGAGCACATTTCACAGTACGTGAAATGTACCTAGTAACTGCAATAATAACAATTAATTGAATACTGGAAAATAGTATACATTGTTGTTAGAATAATAAATAAATAAATATGTATTTACATTTAATCTTAATTCATAATTTATATTTAATAATTCTATAATTAACTGTGAAATCCCCTTGATTATTGTACATATAATATCACTAGGATTTCACAGAAATAACATTAGAATAAAGTATTAAAACAATGTTTATTCTTATACATTATGTACATACTTTATAAGCCATAAATAATTACATATGTATAAAGAATCAGCTAGTAGAAGCGTGAAATGGATGAGGAATAAGCTATATACATTTATCTGAAGCTTACCCATCCTTGATCACATGATCAGGGCATCAGATTGCATCATAACCCTCTTGGATGGCGTCATCAGGACCCTTTTGTGCTCTAATTCAAAGCAGCCTACACGGGAAAGGAGCCCAAATTCTACATGCAAGACTGAATTATGCATGAAAGACATGCATTTCTCATGATCACAAGCTTGCATAAGCAGAGTTACACGTATGCAAACAACTCTACAATTGCACAGCCCCTGCACAGTAAATGTAGCCCTTTCAATTACGTGAGAAATAGGCCACAAAACTCAATTATGCATGTATGATCTCATGTCCTAGGACCTTCCACCCATGCATAGCACTGCACAGCTGCAGCTCCCATCCTTACACGAAGCTGTAGAGCTGCTAAGAAGCTCCCTAGTGCCCTGAGGGCCTCTCCTCTTCCCCTGAGCCTCCTGTAGAATATTTAAGGAGCCCTGATTCCTACCTTTTCCCCCCAGGAAATTCTAGTAGCATCAAACCAACACTTGTACCGTGTTTATTAGTGATTCAAACCACCAATAACATTACAATCCAGCTACCTTAGACCTAAATAGATTTACTTTGCTCAGATTCAAGGCATTTCTACTTATCTCTATTGCATAAAGAATTATCCCCCAGGTTAAACAATTCTGGTCCTTAAGTGTTGATACACTTATTAATCTAGATTGTTGTTAAAAGACTTATCCCAAGTGAGTTGAAGAAGTCCTCACCTTGGAAGCCTATTAATCCATGCAAGAGGATTGATCCGGATGCCCAATTGAATAATTGGATGAGTCAGCAGTAGAAGTACCATTCCTCACTGACTCCTCCCTGTTTCTTTTACAGGTTGAGGGATTTAACCACGAATAAACCTTCTCACTTACCATTCTTGTTAACACTCAAAGCACAACCCTTACAGGTTAGTAGCATAGAGGCTGACAGACAACAACCATCATAGCACAGTTTCTGCGGACTCTATACTCAATCTTCACTTCGTCGTGACCGCAGGTGCTGCCAATCCTCATACACATCCAGTTTTGTACTTGTTTGCATTAGCGACACCGATCTAAAGAATGTAGATCGGTTTGCTGCTCCGTAACTCGCTCCCGAAGCTCTTCAACAGTCGTGGATTGCACAGAGCACGCGAGGCTGGCCTCACGTGTCAATGAATGAAGTCTGTTGTGTTGGTTGGAGTTTGTGGTACTGGTGTGGATGATGACCGAGGCCGGGCATGTGAGCATCGGAACGGGCGCTTGGGTCGGAGACGCGTACATGGTTGCCCGATTGCAAAAATTTCCCCCAAGTGAAGTTTTCCGAAAAACTAATTCGGGTATAGTGCACCCTCCCTGGTAGCTTTCCATTCTCTCCTGAGGAGGCCCACATGGTGTCATCAAAATCCCGTTACATTGAGATGAGACAGGAGCAGGAGGAGCAACCCAGCACACGACCTTTTCGTCTATATAACCACTCATAGTCTGTTCGTCGATAAAGCCATTTACAGCCGAAGCCGACTGTGCTGGAAAGCCTGTATAGTGATATTGGGCCGTTGCCTGCTGAGTTTTTTGTTGTATGTGGGATGTGAACGGATGCGAGGCAACGTAGTTCTTTGCGAGCGTGGGCTGTAAATGGGCCAGACTGGACTGAGAGTCGGTTCCAAAGTACAATGTTTTGGCCGAGTGAGCATCTTCCTCTTTGTGTGTAGGATCGGAGAAGTCTTTGGAGTTCTGCAGTGATGCGAGTAGGTCAGACGTTTGCGAAAAAAGAGGAGAAGGTATGATGCGTGACTTACCTCCAGGAACCGCCAAGCATCTTCATCGATATTGCTCCGGCGTTGTCTGTTACACCAGCTTCTCAGTGCGCAACTTAGAATCAAAAGCATTACCCCAACAATAGCAATGCCAACCAAACATGTGACGAAGATCGCGCCGGGACTGGAGCTCATACTTGCAAAGAATTGTGGTGTATGTACCTTGAGTCTGCTGAGGCACCGGTGAAACCACAGCCGCAGATTTTGGGTGAGGGTGCCGCTGGGGAAGGGGTTGTATGAGTTTCCCTGGCGGTGATCACATTTGTTACCAGCTTAACGGGAATTGGAGTCGGGACGGTGTTGGTATTTTATTTCTATCTATAATGTTTCTAGTCATTTCGCACTACTATGATTGTGCATAAAAACTTGATGAATACTAAATTTACTAAATATATGACAGGATGGAAAGAGTACGTAAAGAGTGTAAGAAAATTGACTCATAAAATGGAGCCAGGCAGTAACATATTGGACTTCTAGGTAGTAATTGAAGTTGAAATGAGACAGAAGTTAAAATTGACTTATTCAAACCTCCACATCATCAAACTCTTCATAATTCTCATCTATTCCCTCTTTTTCATGATCTTCCATATCCTCATCCTCATCCTCACCTTCCTCATCAGTTTCCCCCTCCTCTTCATCATATTGATTTCCCCAATCACCATCAGCTAAATAATTCGCATCATTTTGAGTTTTAGGATCAACCCCTTCACCCTGGACATTTGCATCCTCATCGTCTTCTTCCACCGGATCGTCTTCATTGTCCGTTTCTTCCTCTTCCACAATTTCTTTCATTCGATAATACTTGATAGCTTTATCCAAATACTTCTTGTTGAATGCACGGTCAGATAATTTCTCATCTTCATCGTAATTTGGATGATTTCTTGCAAATAGCGAGTTACTTGGATCGGGTAGGAAAGCCACCGAGGAGAAATCAGGAATTATCCGCTGTTGCCCCGTAGGTAAGTCCAAAATCCATTTGCAAGAGTAGAAATCAAGAGGTAATTGTTGTGGTACTTTAGAAAAACTAGATATGATGGGGGTGGCTGGTAGCTTCCTCAACCTCATTCGTGAAGTTTTGCCAGTCGCAATTTTGATGGCTTTCATCGCCAGATCCAAACGACGAAAAAAAATGTTTGCTGAATTTGATCGATAACCAAGAGTCTTGATCGCAAAGCATTCCCCCTCGCCATCCCATTCATCTTCACTATGGGAGGTGACATCCTCAATAATCCTGGTGTAGCGCTTGGGATATTCATTAATTAAAGCAAAATTCAGACGTGCATCACGTAACTAACCAGGGAAAAAACATTCAGTTTGACTTCAAAATAATGATGAGCAAATCATAACTTACACGACGACGGTTTGTTGAGGCTTTGTGGACCTTAATTGATTCTTGGTTTGAACCAGGTTTCTTGCATTCGGCATGATACTTTTGAGCCAGTACATGGTGGACGTAATGATTGTACGCGCGGATGAAGAGGAGCATGTCATCCTTATATTTGTGATCAAAATTGAGGAAGTTGTATGCGCCAGCGATAGCGATTTGTTGGAATCCAGTGAGAGCCGCAATCCAACATGCTGAATTAAATAAACTTTCAGGTCCTTCGTCAAGGTTTGGCCCCCAGCAGCGAATCACAAGTTTAGCCAGGTTCGCATGGATATAGACAATGTGCCCATCATTGATATGGATTAAATTTTGACCAACTTTGATTTTTCCAGCGCGGGCATCTTTTAGCGTCAGGATGTCTGATCTTGCTATTAGATGGGCAGCATGGGAATCCTCAAAGTGGCGTTGTACTTGATCCAGGGTTGAGAACTTGGTACAGAAACTACAAATATGTTCCTCGTTTGCTTGAGGGGGAACGCTTGATGTTTCGACTAATCCCCAAAGCAATCGAATATGGACATACAAGCACTCCTGCATGATTTTCTTTTGTCAGTAATTGTAATAAATGACAGTTTTTGAGATCCATATCACTTACTTTTGTAGCCTGAAAGTCTGGGGGAAAATCTTTGGTCACCATTTGAGATGGTTTCTTCTTGGGTATCTTCTTAGGTGAGGTTGAAGCTTGGGGACCGGCTTTCTTCTTAGCCGGGGTCTTTGAAGTGGTAGAAGGAGGTTCTGATTGAGCACGTTGCGACTTCTGTCGTTGGGAGGTTTGTTATTGTTCGTATAGCTTGAGCAACAAGTTTGTTGCGTTTATTGACAGGTGGAGTGGGTTTTTTCTTGGTTTCCGATTGATTTTTTGATATTGTTGGATTTGATGTCTGCGTGACTGGACTATTAGGTGCATTGTTCAGTTTACGAGCTTCAATCTCTTTTTGCATGAGCTGAAAGGCAGGATTCAAGGATTCGGCTTGTCGGGAGAGTGCGGATGAAATCATTTCTTGCACATTCTGCAGTGTGAACATTGGTACTGCCGAATTTTCTTGGTTTTGATGGTCAGTTGGATTGCCACCGCTGGACGAATTGATGGTATTGAGACTCATGTTTTTGATGAGCTGTTGTAAGAATTTTTGATGAGACGGAGAGCTGGCAGGATAGGTGGAAGGCAGTTTTTTTGGATCCGATTTGCCCTCCTTGCAACAATTACAGGACTGATTTTTTAGCAGAATCAGTGATAGTGTACAATTTACAGATTTATGCAGGTATCCAAATGCAGATGATCCCTATAGCTGAAATAGATGACTTTTTTTGAACTCGGTCCATGTCATTTATATACCTGTACAATATAAAAGCTTTACCTCTTTGGTGGAAAGGAGAGGGAGCTAGAGGGTGGTGGGAGTAGGTACCATTGTAGTATTGATCCCTGCCTCATAAGCGGAAATATGTACCTGTTTCGCAGTGGTGCAGAAACAGTGTGCTACATACACAGCAACCACAGGCAGTTCTAAGCTTGACCCAATCCAAATCACCGAGAAAAATTCATCTCCGCCCGACACGCATGGATTGAGACCCCTCAACCAGGCCCCAGCCCCATCCTAGACGCTCGTACTCCTGGTGGGCAACAAAGAATGTTTCCCAGCGCTGACCAACCGGCCCTTCTCCCAAGGCAGACTGCCACCAGACATGACAGGGAAGAAGAAACTGCACTAGCACTCCAACCGATCCCAGAGGAGGTCAGCAATCCTGGCCCACATATGGTCCAACCAGCTATACATATGATCCCTTCCGCCTTAGCTGAATCCTTAGGATTATCTGAAATCGATCCAAGTAGCATGGCCCTTGTGTCAGAGCTCATGAGAGTAAGAAGTTTGCCTTCATACTACTGTTGTTCCCCCGGCCTCAACCAAACCAACAAACATACTCTCAAATCATAGATCCCAGAAGAGCAACAATGGCCAATCACCGCCATGATGCTGGTCAGAGCCATGCAAATCTACTCTGCTGGACCTCCACCATACCAAAGAGTCCCCACCCAACAAATTGTGCATGCATTCCCTGCAATTCTTCAAGTATGTTATTTGACTTCTCCTCTGATTGCCTCAGTAGCTTACGTGTAGTTCGTAAACCAATGTCAGATACAGATTAGCAATTCAATACGCTTCATATTACTTGAGGGACACTTGCAGGCCTATGGCACCATTCCCCATGGTGTCATTCGGCGTTGATACTCCACACCCATGACTTTAACATTGGTTAGTCATTAACTCATCTTTCAACGACAAATACCATCACTTATGAAATTAGAAACCATAAGGCACAAATCCGGAATGCCTATCATGATGGTGAAATAGACCCCTCCATGATGCCACGTGGCTATGCCCAAATGAGGGCCTCAGCAATGAACCAGGTTTTTGAGCTGTGCCAGCACCTTATTGAACAAGCCAAAGTCCAATACCGGGATATGGTGAGTAATATGATATCAATTCCAATTCACAAAGTCTTGCACTCAAACCAAAGTGCTTACTGCCATATCACCCCGGATTTCCCAACCAACAATTTAGTTACTTGAGAATATAGCTCCTTTCGATGAAATAGATACGCACGGGCCAGTTCCCAAGCTTGATGATTTGATTCAATCAGTACGTCACTCCAATAAATAAATAAGAAGCAACTGACACATATGCATAATTGTCCGCCAGGTCTGGGGTCAACTTCAAATCAACCCAGCTGAACATTTGGGACCACTCCCATCGCAACCTGAGTTCAATGTTGCATTGAAACCCGAGTTCAATGCTGACTGGGTCCGGATGGCACACATCCGCTTGCATATGGTACATCACAAGTACGCCCTCCCTGAATCATCCCTCTCTGAATGGTCAACCCTTGACCAGGAGTTACACGAATTGGCCCAAAAGGATCAGAAATACCAAATTGCGTATGTTGAGCTGCACTTTTACTAGGGTCATCTGAGAATGTAAAAAGTGACCAAGCTCTTTTGATTATTCAGCCATGCCCAATCCATTCTCATCCGGGACCACGAGCTCTTCAATGGAATTAATACTCTTGCAAGTATTCCTCATGCAAACCTCAGGCTACCCACTGCAGATGAAATCAGCATGCGCCTTGAACTCATAGCACAGGGAGTCAATGATGCACCTTGGGCTTGATGATAGATCCACTTGATCACAAAATCAATTTCCTTTTTGAAAATTTATCTGGATAATCTATGTCTGGACTCTGATGCTAGGATAATTATGATAGACCATACTGAAATCAAGAACCTCATACAATTTTAGTTAAATATTGCCCTGAATACCTGTTTTTGATCCTGGAAAGTCTGTACATGTTCTGTCCAAGCCCCATGGAGCACAAATAGAGATGGGCTTCTATGTTCTCAGCCATTAAATTGACCCTCTTACTCATCTTTCTCTCCACCCCCTCATTAATCACATTCTTGGCCAGCTCTCAATATCATCAAAATGTATGATGATTGATGATTATATGAAATATGGGAAAGAAGAAAGGCGGGATGGATGTAGTCAGGAAAAAACTGTCTTCTAAGCTTGCATTTATTAGGGAAAGGTTCTAGTTTTTGTATTCTTTTTCTTGGCTATCATAGAAAATCATTTGGAAAACAAAAGTTAATTGAAATTAGAACTTATAAGCAGCATCATGAATTTGGAAGATAAGAAATAATAACATAATTTATCTACTGAGAGCTTGAGTTTACTGTGTTGATTTCTAATACAGACAAGTGGTTGACAGGTATCATCATCACCCCCCCCTGATTCCATTTTATATGCACCTTTTTGAAGAAACCTATATGCACAGACATTTTGGACTGCAGAGCTTGGTATAAATTCGTATTTTTCTGGATCAACTTTTCCAATGATGGTCTTCATCTGATAAAGCCAAAAGCGGAATCTTGCTGAACCTCTTCTCATACCCTTGCAAAACATATTTTCAATACTTTGAACATTCAGTAGAGTCAAGCTTTCTGACCCAGGAACCGTAACTGACATGATATCTTGAATAAACCCATAACAAAGCAGGCCATCCACCTTGAAGCTGATGCAATTATTGGGGGACATTGCAGATACACTAATGTTATTGTTGCAACAGAAAGTTGACTTCAACAGCACATCTGGCTGTAGGATAGATGCATTGACTGGGTGAGGAAAATTTTGATGATGGCGAAGTTCTGGTAGGGTTACTTGCATGTGAGTGAGGAGTCGTTCGTACATTTCCTTGTTCACCATGATGGCTCTTCCTCTGGTTTCAGGTTTTTGATCATCTTTTAAATCATCAAGAATGTTTGTGAATTCATCTCTAGCTTCCAATCGCTGAATCTGACATATACGCTTCATCATTGTTCCTTCAAGTTCACCTGTTATTTTTAAGTGTGTCAGTTAATGATTGTTTCAAAATGTGTTTTTCATTCTTATGGGGGAAAAATCTCACCCATTCGATGGTTTGTCTCTATATTTTGTAGCTTTCCAATCATTCTCTCACCAGTAAACTCTGCAACCCCTCCTAAAGTTCCCCATAGCTTAAGCTGTTTGGGTATGTGTAGTGCGTAATGATGATTTGGGTGAACAGCAAGATTTTCAAAAATTTTCTTTGAAGTTTCATTGTATTTTTGGTAGCTATCTTCAAACCTTTTCCCATGGACTTCCTTCACATGCCTTGAATTAACGATGTGGGTGCATTGAATCAAGCAGGCAATGTTGTCCACTATTAATGCCTGGTTTGATTTTGCATTGATTTTGTCGATGTCGGTCACAAAGATGTCGGCCACAATTAAGGGTATAACATATACAAAGAGAACATACCACTGAGAAGCTTTGAGCTTCCCGCATTTGGCTTTGCCTAATTGACTCGGGATACAACCAACTACAGTTGGAAGTACAACTTCTGGCAGAGCTGATCGAAAGAGGTTCATATCCAGTTCGGTAAAAAGTCCACCTGAACGTTGGTCGAGCTCAAAATCAGAATCCTCCAGATCTTCATCATCTTGATCAAGTGATACAGTATCATCATTGCCAGTTTCCAGACGTGGTCGCTTCCTGCTTGCATGGTTGTCAGTATCAACCCCACGATTTCTCTTCTCTTTCACTGATAAAGTTTGAAAGCCCCAACGTTCACGAAAGTGATGCATAAGAACACCCTCCATCCAATTGTGCATTGCCCCCAAAGCAACATGCTTTACTGGATCACAATATGTGAGTCGGTTGAGTTCAGAGTATCGTACACCGTTCACTCGCAAGATTTCTTCTCGGCCTTTGATAGTCTTGTTGTCCAGCCAGCTTTTGGATATTTTCTGCACTTCTGAACCAGTTCTTGGTTGTCCGAATTCAAGTTTGTGGCATTCGTCTTTATGGACTTTACACCATGAGCAGAAGTAGTTAGCCGAGTGTGATGCATAGCCAGCAACCTTATGAGTTGCACCTAAGTCTCCAATAAGAGGTAGCAGCTTGATTTGGACCGTCCTTCCATTAGGATGTGTGTGTGTTTCTAGATTGAATGGAGTGGTCAAGCCAACCAGTTCATCAATGAGGGGTCTCATCAAGTGAGTGATCGTGGTCATGTCAGGAGCTTGTGGAGATAATAGTGTAATACAAGCGTCGAGCTTCTCGGCGGATACCCAGTTACGCCCCAAGTCCCCGGACGTACGGGTTCTCTCGAAGGAAGAGAGGATCCAGCTCCTCGTCAAAAGAACACGTAGCCCTTTGGAAGAGGTTCCTAGTGGATCAACCCTTAGGCGCTTTGGAGGGCAACAGAGCACTCCTAACTCAAGCGCAAGACAGTCAGCGCGCTCTCCAGAAATTGATACCTCGAGCGGAGGTCGAGGAATACGTCAAGGGTTGGAACCCTTGGACCGAGAAGAAAAACCTCTTCCCAGTTCTTCAACAGGAAAGAAACGGGAAGAACCGGAGCTCCTCCTCCCAATCCAACTCCTAAAAAGCGCCCAAGATGAACGACCCGCGTCGTTGGAAAAGACTCATGAAAGCCTGCCACACCCTCGAGTCGGGTTACATGAAGATGGAGGATTAGATTTAAAAATCCTTACAGCTATACTAGATAGCTTAGACCTTGTAAATAAGAATCTTTCAGCGATTGATAGCAACGCCGAAAGCAATTTTAAATCTATTGTAAATAGTTTTGATTTAAATACTAGGAACAATAAGAAAGCGTCTGATTCTTTGTCTTTAAAGTTTGATAACATGCTCCGCAATCCATTGTCCATAAACCCTGAGGCTACCAAGCTCATAGCTGAGAATACCGCTAAAAGCCAATTAGCCTGTTCCAAATTGACCACCGTAGTTGATAACTTGAGCAATGAATTAACTTCTACAGACGACTACATATTATCTAAGATGAGAGAAGATGCTCTTCTTGCTAAGAGCGCTAACAATAAAGAATTAGATATGATCAAAGACCTGCTAATTCAACAGAATATAAGATCTGAAGGCATTCAAAATACCTTGAATGAACAAATGACCACTCTTAGACAAGAAATGAGAACTGAAATTCAAAACAATGTTCATACTCTAACTGTACAGTCTAAACAGCCGGGAGGAATCCCTCTCGGCCACCAAGACTGTACAGTCTCAACGGCTGATAGGGATTCCTCCCGGCTGTTGAGACTGTACAGTCTCAACGGCCGAGAGGGATTCCTCCCGGCTGTTGAGACTGTACAGTCTCAGCAGGCAAAGAGTACAGCCAGCTGTGGAGACTGTACAGTCTCAATGGGCGAGAGTAATCCCTCCCGGCCACCGAGACTGGTCCTGATGGCCAGGAGGAATCCCTCCTGGCCATCGACACTGGTCCTGATGGCCAGGAGGGATTCCTCCCGTCCATCGAGACTGTACCCCTCCCGGCCGGCAGGGGTACAGTCTTGTGAAGGGAGAACTTTACTCTCCCTTCACTGATGTAAGCAAAACTTGCCCGCAAGTTTTGCTTACATCAGTGAAGGGAGAATAAAGTTCTCCCTTCACCTCGTCAGGAAGGGCGGGTTCATCTGCCCGCCCCTCGGAATCCTGTTTTCCCTCGAAAACAGGATTCCGAGGGGCGTGCAATCAAACCCGCCCCTCCCTGAGGGGCGGGTTCAATTGCACGCCCCTTTTGGAGGGGCGGGGGCGTGGGCGTGCGGGGAAGGGGGAGGCGTGCGTTTATCAACGCCCCTCTCAACCGTCACTGGCGCCATCTTCTTCTGGATGGTGATCAGCTTCAAGCGGTTCACGCGTTCCTCCAGCTGATTGGCCGCGCCGCGGTCGAGTGGCTGGGGGTAAGGGGCCGTGGAGGTCTGGATTGTTTGACCTGGTGGACATGTTGGTTTATTTACTTTGTTAGTTAATTTTTCGTTATCGGGCAAAAAAAGGAGTATGTAGAAAAAGGAGCTACCCCGTGTTAGGACTGTTAGCATCAGTTTCTGTGATAGGAGTAGTTCCGGCGGCTGGGGTAGTTGCAGCGCTAGAGTTAGAAGTAGCGGACACTGTTTGCGGAAGAGAAAGGATCAATTGAGGGTTCTTCTCGATGTAGATTCAGCTAGGAGATGTTATGAAAAGGATGAGCGCGTACTTTTGGCTAATCTTTTGTTTCTAAGTTCAGCTAAAAGTTGGCGGCGCTTGGTTTTGTGATCTCGTTTGACAGAATTCCAGAGAAGCAGGTTGGCGACTCGTTCGTTTTCACTAATCTCTACGCGTCGAAGAGCTCGAGCGCGTTGTTCTTCTGGGGTAAGTAACTCCCAGTCTGAGGGTTGATAGTCGGCTGCGCGCTGTGCTTTTTCAGACGCAAGGAGAGTAAGATAGTATTGAATTAGTTCAGCAGTTTTTTCCAATTCCACTAAAAGGAAAAAAGTAGAAAAAAATGTATTTAGTAAAAAGATATGTTTTTATGAATTTTTATGTTTTTATAATATGTTTTTATGGGTTTGGTGTTTAGTGGAAAAAATTCGAAAAAAGGTGGAAAAAATAAATGATTTTTTTATTGGTTTTATTTATTTTTTAATAGAAAAATAAGGCCAGGGTTTTTATCAAAAAATAAAGATTTTTCCCGGCCAGACCCCCAATTGTCAGGCTAAGTGATGCCAAGAGCAGAACTCTTCTAGCTACACTAGCTGCAAGAGTAAAAATGGGATGTGTACACGTGTGGGTGACACGTGAAAAGTGGGGGAAGTGTGTGTAAAATAAGAGAAAATAGTAAATAAAAACTGTTAAGTTTTTATTTACAGAGGGGCCTGAGTTGCAGGGGTTTTTTACTGTGCCCTCTAATTCAGGTCCTGAGTTGCAGGGGTGGTACTGAAGTTCTGGTCCTTTATAATAAAGGAGTAAACCCAGAAAAAAGTCTACTACTGAAGAAACAAAGAGATAATACTTACTGGTACTTATCTCTAAGCCAAGGAGGTCTTCAGGAGAGGGGGACTGTTCTTGAAGCGCTCAGAAAGGTGAGTGAGAGGTGTTGGGACAGTGCTGGGGAACAGGTGTTGGGTTGATGAGTGAAATTCAGGTTGATAACAGCAGGAACTGGGCCAAAAGGCAGGTTGAAACTGGTTGTTGGTGACGGTTTATGCTGGTAAGTACTGATGAAGATGGGGAATCAAAGTTGAGGGGGAAGAAGGGGCTCTTAAATACCCATTCTGGGCCTCTGGAGGCGAACTCAGGAGTCTCTCTAGTTGCTACAACTCTCCTACTAAGCCTATGGGAGCTTTTGATCATCTGTAGCACCTGTAGAGCTTGGTTACAGGTGTCAAGGAAATGATGTAAGGCTTGTAACCATGTTTACAGAGTGTTCTGACGAAACTGTAACCCTCCTGTAGCCTATGTCAGCACTGCATGATGCATGGGTTGATCCTCAAGAGAGTAACTGTCCCAATTGGGCCAAAAAGGGCCACAGATCATCCCAAACAGTTTAATACTGTAGTCTGTGCTCATGTAATTAAGGTTTCAATGATGTAAACCTTGTTTGTAGATTTTTCCCGAACTGCATGAACCTTAATTACACATGTAGCCCCCTTACAACATGTAGTATGATGTAACTGGAGGGGTCTACAGTGTATTTTGGTCCAATATCACTCAAGGACTACAAAGTAAGTGAAGGAGTAATAATTCAAGGGTACACTGGGTGAGCTACCCTAGGTTATTTTGCATGTAGATTCAGAATCTGCAATAATATTCTGAGTTATACTTAAGGTTCAGAAGTTATTAGGAGATTCTGGTTAAAAATGTTATTTTCCATTATTTATTTAAAAAAAATATTACAATGTAAAATGTACTGTGTAATAATGTCTCTATTATAGTGCTTCCACTTATTTAAATAGTATATTTTATTATTTTAAATGTATGTACATATATAAGTAATAATATCTCTAATTTATATGTAAAATGCTTATGTTCAGGCTGGCTCTGATTAGTAGCAGGCTGACATTCTTGCTTTCCAGCTAGCTTGTTGCTGCGTGGGTTGAACCAGTCAAAGAATAAAGAAAAAACCAGCTGGATGCTATTTGGATATTGGGGCCCTTGGTGCCATTTGAGTGCCTTCCATGCTGATCCGTGCTGGATGTCAGTCGATGCATTATCTGATGTTTCTTGAAGCTCACGTCTCCAGTCTTCAACAGCGTTTTCAGTGGTTTTCAAGCTTAAGAACCAACTAATCCATGATTTGAAGCTCTGAGTAGTAAAAACACAGTGTGGAACCCCGATTGAAGAGAGTTGTGTCTTCCTGTGAGCCTGGGTCTCTATAGTGACAGCAGGACACAAGGTTTTTGGGGGGCACTTTTAAATGTATTTCTCAAGATAAAAGAAATACAAGTAAAAGTAGAGGAGAGGGAAAGAAGAGAAGGAAAAGATTAGAATAATCTTTTTGTTCTTTGTTTGTCTTATGAAGAAGATTAAATTATGGCAGTCTTACTGTCCCTTTTTGGATGGCTGCTGACAGTCTTACTTTCCTTGTAGGATGGCTGTTATAAGCGGAGCTAACTCTGACACCTCCAAATCAACAGAAACTGAAATGGGTTATTGAAACTGATGAATCAGGTCAACCATAATTTTTTAGATCAAAGATCAAGGCTCTTTAAAGGGAAACCTATGTAGTTTTCAGTTGTACTACCAAACAGGAAGAGTTGAGATAATAGAAGCTAGAGCTTGCTTTCTTTGATCAGGGCTTTGGTTTGATGAGGAATGAAGAGAGGTTGAGAGAAACTGAGAAAGAGAACAAGCAGAAAGATGCTAGCTAAAACTTATAAGAAGTTACTTACTAATGACACCAATGACACTATGTAGTGGGAAAGGTGGGAAAAGTGGAGTACTTCTGGTTGATAAGTGATGGCTTGATCTGGTTCTGGTTGTTGTGGTTCTGAGTTGGTCTGGAGTCTGAAGATCCTGAAAATGCAAACTCAGTATCCTCTGAGAGAATTTTCAGAGTTGGATTACATAATCACAACATGTACATGTGGTAGAGAGTGGGAATTCAAACTTGGTTGATATTTCACAAGGTACGGTGAAATATTACAAAGTCTGTGAAGGAGAAGAGTAGTGTAAAAGTGTGTAGTGGTGACTAAGGTTAAAATTAAATGAGGAATTCATTTCTGAAGTCAGAATTTAATAAAAGATTAAGATGAAAAAGTTACAGTAGGAACTTGAGTGAAAAGGAGGGCTTAAGCAGTCTTTTGGCCAGCTTGGCTGGCTCTAAGGCTGACACTTCCGTCAAAGGGACCTAGTTGCTTGAAATCTTCCTTGGTGTGATGATCCTGCAAACAGTTTTTTTTCTTTGAAAAGAGGAGTATTACAAGGACGTGCTCTTGGGGTTTCTCTGTAGGTGCAGTTGTAGGGTAGATTAGGTGGATCATAGAGGGTGAAACATTTAGAGCAACATAAGATTTGTTTGATTTCAACATTGATCTGATTTTTCAAGATTGTACGAATGTCTTTTGGTACCATAGATTCAATTGGTAGTTCTTGGGGGGTAACTTGTGCCTTATTTATTATTTTCAATAAGATGTGTTGGGCTGCTTGGCATTTTTCCATACTAACACTACCATGTAGATGTAACCATGATATGAAATAGCTCGCCATATCTGAAATGATAGTCAGTTCTTAGTTTACACTTGAAGTTGGGAGGGTTAAAATAATGTACTCACTTGGAAGTGTGGTTTCCAAATAGCACGCACGATCATCATTAGTGGGAGTTTCACTGTTATATGGTAATGAAGGTTTTGATTCTTCATTGAGACTGAGATAATCATTATCATTAGGACTGAAGTTATTTGAAAAAATTTGTTGCTTCTGGTGTTCTGTCTGTCGATGGAGAAGATAATTACGATGTGAAATGAATCGACCATTTTTCTCTTGGCCATCTGGATCAATGACACTATGTTGAGCACATATAGAGCAGGAGCAGAGGACCATGACCTCAAGAAGATAGCAATAATGGATGGTAAAGGCAAAGTGGACAGGTGATCTGGAGCAAGGTGATAAACCGTATGCTAGACCCATGAAGTATCAAATCTTTTGGATCTACTGATTCTGACACACTAGAATGTGTTGGGTTATGCATACTCCTTCTTGGGAAGCCCAGGTACAACACCACTGTGATATCAATTAATTTTCCACGTGTCTCATCTCCAAAAATTGAAGGGCTTATCCTAGGCTAACAAAATCGTGATCCCTCACCAGTTTTTCACAATTTCTCCACGCACACACTTCATTTGTCCCAAAAGTAGATCACCAATGTATTCCATGCTATTGATTGCACTCCAGACATAAAAAGATTGAAAATTCTAGCCAAATTTGACAAATTAACTAAGTATATTTTCAGAAATAGATTAAGTGAAAGAGATTTAGTTTTTGTGGAATACTTTGAGCGCTTTAGAAAGATATTGATAATGATCACCCATGGAGATACCAGTGTGAGTTCCTTTTTTATATTTACTACAAGCATTTAGCAGATTATGGTTAATTTGTAAGGATAATGCTAAGCGGGTAAAAACAGAATCTTCTGGATGTGGAAGGGTGCAGTGTTTGTAATCCTTAGCCCTCCAGATAATTCTAACAATCCCAGTGGTCCTAGAAAAATCAATCCCAGCGCGGTGGTCAGGGAAAACAAAAGAGCCTGACTTGAGCAAGTAACCGTCAGAAGGACTGGCCAATTGGCCAGTTTCTTTGAAGGTTGGAACAAATAGGGCAAAGGCAAAGTCCGACTTGTCTTTTTTGTCCTCATGGGGTGAGTTGTAGAATCCATTAGTGGTGTACGTGATGTGAGGAGACCCGGCCAGCTTTGTGTTTCTGTCGGTGAAGCTGAGATCCGCAAAATCTGGAATGCCGTTACTGCGCATGATTTCTTGATTGTTTTTGAATGGGATACTCCCCATCTTCTGGAACATATTCCCCAGGGTTCTGGCTACGCTAGCGGAGGACTTGAACAATTCATCAAACATTTCAGGTGCCAAATTCACCGCCGCCTGTTTGATGTATCGTCCAATAATTTCCGCTTTTACCATAGCCTTACGCCAGCCAATGGCCCACATGTTTCCCCCCCAGCATTGAGACTTGATGTCATGGACAAATCGAGTTGAATCGTGCAGGAAAGTCGAAACCAAGTTAATTTCGTCTTTGGTCTTGTCATCCAAGTCGTCCCACTTAATGAATTCGATGACTGCAATGATCCGCCCATCCTTTTTATTGCCGTCAAACAGGATATTCAGACCCCTGTCAAAAAGCTTCCACCCCGGTCCAGTAACAACATCGGAGGCCGCTTGCAATTCCTCAGGTCTTGGCCTCCGGACATAGTGATTCTTGATCTGATTGATATTCGGATAAAGTTCGAGTCCAATGTGTTTGGCCTTCCAGTAGAATGGCTTTCAATTCAGGGGTAACAGTGATATCTCAGTGGATAGCATATGAGCTAGATTTCCATGACGCCAAGCTTTGTGTCGCTTGTTCTTTGCAGACCCAACCTTTGTACTGAAATCATCAACCTCAACCTCATGTTGCCTATTTGTTAAGCAGGTTTTGGTTTGAATTGACAATTGAAGAAAGAAAGTGTAATGGGAACACAAAGTACAAAGCAACACAAAGGCAGCAGGCAAGAAGAAGGAAGAAAGTGCATGAGTACCAGTTGAAAAAAGTCAATGAGATATTGAAAAATTCATACAGTTCATTAGAGGTGACAGCAGGTCGCTTGCCGGCATCCAAAGGCAGGAACTGAATGATTGGCTTGTTGTTGTTTGTTTTCTGGGAGTTGACAGGTTTCACATTTTCGTTCGGAAGGCTCTGTTCATGAGAGTCCTGTTGTTCATCGGTCGCTGCCAACATTGTCTGAGTATTCTAGATCATGAATGTTCAAACCCCCAAAGCAAATGATTAGAGTGATAACAATCCACTTGGATAAGATAAGGTGATTCAAGCTCACCGGGCACTTCCTGTTGATTGCAGTGACCATCCGTTGGTAACAGAGACAATCGGAAAAGATCACCCGAGGTTGCTGAGGAGAAAAAGGAATCAATACAATGATATTGAGGAGTTTTTTGACTGCTGGAATCGACTTCAATACAACCAATCGGGCTGATGTTGCTTACATGAATCCGATTGTTTGTTCAAGCCAAACCGCTTTCAAGATGCCAAGCACAGTCTTCAGAACGTCTGCAGATCAACCCCAATCGAAAACGATGTTCAAGAGAAATTAATGTCTGAGCTGAATTCTCATTCCACTTGAGATTGGCTTGAATGAACACAGCAACATGAAATTCAGCTCACTTAACCTTTCAAGACCAAGTCAACCAGAGATTTATAATCTTTGGATTAGTTCCAATGCAATATATTGGTCCAACTGTCAGAAAGATCAAGGATAACATAGATACCTCTTTGACTGTACTTACAAGAGAAACCAATTCTGCCGAGCTTGTGAGGTTGATGCCGATCAGACAGGCCAGTGTACAGGAACCTGCCCAGAGTGATTCAGATTAAAACCGAATCGCGATGGCTGTATGTGAGTAGTGTTGCCTAACAGTCCACAAAAAGAAAGGATAGAGTTTGCTTACAAGAGAATCGTGTTGAGGGCTTCAGTTTGAAGCCAGACTTATTTGCAAGGATGACCGGGTCAAATGGTGAGTTTGATGCCCCGATCCAACCCAGGCACACACTCAGAGGCTTGGGTGGTCTCATTTTCTGACAGACCCCCTGGGTGAGGGATTGGAGCTCAACCCCCCTTATGTGAAGTAGAGATGGGCAATTTGCATCCGGATATCCGGCTGCTTTTTCCGGCCATCTAGGCATCCGCATCCGCACCCGCACCCGCTGGCGGGTATCCGTTGGCCGCAGCGGGTATCCTCGGATACCCGCCCTCTGAAGGGTCGGCGACGGACCGGCTGGAAGGGCTTCCTTCCAGCCGTCGAGGTACTTGTACCTCGCCGGCTGGAAGGATTTCCTTCCGGCCGTCAAGGTACTTGTACCTCGAAACCATCTCTAATGTGAAGGATGCAGAGCTGAGCCCATCAACAGAAAGATGAGTATTAGTATGAAACCCCTGTCTGTTTCAAACATAATGAAAATAATGAGAATCAGGATAAGCCACCATCCTTTTTTGTAGATAGGCCCTGCATGAACTCACAAAAAAAGAAACCACCAGATACAAACCAAGTGTTGATTAATTTTGTTCATAAATTGAACAGAATGACTCAACACTGTTTCCTGCTGGTTCTCACTTTATCTGTGGGCAGGTGTGATATCAATATACATTTCATCTTAATGCTTCTAAACAAATATGATACAACCATATATAAATGTACAGAAAAACAAAGTTGGGAAGTGAGACTAGTTTTCATGGACCAGGTGATTGATTTTGTGAATCATATGGTGTCATGCATCATAATTGAGTCCTGGTGCCATAATATTTTGAGGGGTTACTTCTGATCAGTAAATTTCAAGTTAAGGGGGATATAATGCAGGGTGGGTGTTAAAATGTAGAAGGGTCTAATGGTTCTGTACTTTGAGGTAGGCAATTGGAATCCCAAATTCCCAAGACTGAATTGATCCACAGTTTCTGGTTTTCCAAAAACCTAGATTACTGTATCCACAATATTAAGCCCATTGACCTAGCAGATCCACACAACAGCCTTGTGCCTAAACCCAATCATTCAAAAATTTATCAACAAGGCATCAATGTCATTTCAGTAAATTAAGAAGTTTTTTTATGTGTTGCATTGGCTCAAATCAGCTGGGAATTAGAATTTATCATTAAGGAAATCTGTTGAAATATACCATCACATCCCTGTTTGTCTGAGAAACATTTGAATCTTTTTCAAGGGCAAATTATAAATTTCTCAATTTTAATTCAAAATTTCTTAATGTTATGCGCTCTCTGCTGCCCAAATAAACTTAAAAACATGGAAGAAACTTAATTTGCAACTTTGTATGCAGTTTAATATTTCAGTCATATTCTGTGTAGAATGTTATGATTTTTCAGAAAATTGAAATGGAAAATCTCAGAAAAACATTAAGATTATGTGTAAGGCTTGTTGCTGTAATGAATAGGAAAGAATAAGAACCCAACAAATTTGATTTCAAACAGTGGGTCATGGTAAGTCAGGAAAAGAATCGGGTGGAAACATTTCTTGAATAGTGGGTACTGGTAGCATGTGCTCAAAAACAGACCCCACACTGCCAAATGTGATCTGATCAAAGTGGAATCCCATTTGTATCATGATGTTTGAGGCAGCTTCATGAAATATATCAGGTGTGAACATCACATGTTGAGTTAGGGAGCAACTGGGCAGCTAGCGCAGAGATGATTGAAGTCAAACCAAGCGACAAAGGAAGTGCTGAGCGGGACGAGAATATGGTGGGTGCCCCAGATGGGCAGGAGGCGGTTCTCGAGGATGGGCTTGTGATCGGTGAGGGCATCGAAGCGCTTGGCAAACTCGGCCCGGTTCTCGGCACTGATCGGAATCCAGAACACCGTCAAGAGACCGCCCCCCACTCCTCCCTAATTGCTTCCGGTAGTCCGTGCCCGAGTTCAGGTCAATCACCCGCGTCCGTTGTTTGATTAATTTGATACATCCTAGGAACGACTCCCATTGGATCCCGTTCTTGTACAGCTCATCTGGGTGTCGACTGGATCATAGAACTTGTTCAGTATCCTCGGTTTGTCGGGATCTAAGTAATACAAGCAGACTGATCACTCAACTTGGAAGTCACTTCTTGTTTGGCCAAGCTGTCCTGGGCAAGCTCGAGGGCCACTTTTGTGATGTGGACAATTTGCTTGCAGCTCCAAGCGAGTTTGTGCAGCTTGAACAGCTTGAAGAAATCCTCAGGAGTCAAGACAGCATCTAGCACGGCTGGTAGGCCCATCAACCAGGCCCCATCGGAAGGTGAGAGTAAGATGATTTTATGAGATTTAGAGAGATCTTCGACATCATTGATATTGTTGCTCTGTTCAATCATCCTTACAAGCGCCTCGATCCCTTCTTGGATCCAAGGTTGAAAGTGACTTAGTACCGCAATAACAGTCGTCTATGGTGGGAAAGATCAACAGGTAGGAAAGTCTTTGTTAATATGCACCAATGAATTAGTTTTAGAATGCGAGTAAGAAATCGGGGCTTGATAAACGCACGCCACCCCCCCTGGCGCACGCCAAACCGCACGCCAGGTGGGGATTGGTGTGCACGCCTGCACGCCAAAGAAAATTGGCGTGCGGGCCCGCACGCCAATCTACAGAGTGTAGACCGGCGTGCAGGCCTGCACGCCAATGATCCGCCGCCGTCCCATAGGACCCAGGCACTGGGTCCGATGGGACGGCCCCTTTGTTTGTTTTTTTAAATACTT